TGGCAGCGGCGCTGCAGCCCGTGCCCGGGAGGCAGCTCTGGTGCCGCGGAGGGAGATGCCCCCGATGGAGCCCTTACCAATTCACGACACCCTGGTCGTCGAAGGAGCGGTGCAGCCTGAGCCCGGCCGCTCGGGAGAGCTCGGAGCACACACAGCTACAGCCAGAAGCCGCTGCATGGATTCCCCTGCAGAGCAGCAGCCTCCCTGCACCTCACCACGCAGCAAAGTCTGCCACTTGTCCCTGCAACTGGGAGCTCCCTCAGGCATGCGCCATTGTCTTTTGAGATAAAATAACAAATGCTACAGCCAACACATACAAACATAACTGGAAGGGTCTGTTCTTGGTAAAGAAAGAACAACTTATATTTTTTGAAATAGGCTCTTGCTATCTTTCTTTGCAGCAAATCCTCTGGGCGTGGGCTCAACTGAGAACACGGATGCTCCTCGTTCTCCTCAATAGTACAATCAAAACTTGAGAGCAGAATTAAAGTTAAAATGAGAAAGAAACAATATAGAGAGTCTAACGGTTGGAAAGAATGAAAGATGGACCAAAACGGGATGGAGGACAAGCATGGAGCTACTGCAAATTTCCTTTCTGCAAGTTTTAGGTAATTCCTTTCACAGAAATAAATAAGGAAACAACATTATAATCCAACATTAGAATCATTAAAGCAACAAAAAAAAATTTAGCATAGCTGAAGAGTTTTGTACTCTAAAAACAATCCTGCTTCTCTGCTTTTATTTGCATGGTTAATTTCTGTAAAGGCTACCAAAAGGCAGTTCTTCTAACAGCAATATTGACATGGCAAAATATACTGCAGACCAATCACTGCATTCACTAACCAGTGCCTGAGGAGAAGCAGCTTTGTATTTCATGTGTTTTCCAGAGTTGGTCATAACTTTACAGAGCAGAGTTTAACAGAAGAAGATTAATCAAGAAGTGATAAACAGGATGCAGACTATTTACTAAAAGGTACGAAATCAATCATTCCCTTTGGAATATTCTCTTGGCACAACTGAAAAGTGCCTCAGGAAAGAGAGTCTCGTCAAAACTTACTTGCCCAGACAGTACAGTTTGTATTCCAAAATACATAACTTATGTGAGTTTAAGCAGTTTACAAGAGCAAAAGTGAAAAGGGCAAACATACTGTTCTCTCGGACAAGGCAGAATTCCAAAGTGCTCTGGCTCTCCAAGGTACAGTCTAAATCTACGGGGACATTAGGTTCACTCTGCTTCTCCAGCCGATACTGAGGACCTGAAACATAAAGTAACTTGTAAAATTATCTGTTTTCTAACAAGGTGACGGCTTAGCACATTCTAGCTATACTCTAGAAGCAAAGCAGGTAGATGTTTACATCTTAAAGCTCTTTTTCAAAGGGAAGGATCATATGATTAAAAGGTGGAGGATGGTCTGCATGGAAACAAAACGCCCCCTTCATGTCCAGCTGCCCAGGGGTCTGTGCTGCTGCCAGGGCCGCGCTGGGCACCGCGAAGCCACGTGCCCCGTGACGAGGGGGCCCTGCTGCATTTCTGCATGCAGCACCCTCCCACCTCGGCAAAAACACCGGGTCTGACCAAACATCCGCGCTGTGAACGGAGCTGAAAAAGCCTAGAGAAGTTCTATTGCCTAGAGCAAACCACGGCAAGACCCAGCGGTGTCTGCGCGCAGCGCTGCAGCACCAGGCCATGAAAACATGCCCACTTTGGGAGCTCACTTCATTAGACTGGGCCACGGCACAACCCGCCGGGCCGGCCACAGCCACCGCGCTCGGCCCTTTCGGCAGCGCTGACCGACCAGGCCAAATCAATACCTCACAAATTCTAAGTAATACAAAGCATCTGTAGGTAGGCCATAACATAACAAAATAACTAGAACCGGAATAATGAAACCTATTCCTTCTTTATTAGTATTTAAAATATTTCTGAATGCTTTCCTGACTTTGAATCATGATAGTCTATGATGAAATATTTAAAACATAAAAAAATTAAGCATTTTAGCCTCAGATGGCATGCCTAAGAGATGGAATTTGTTAGCCAATTAATTTTAAATTTACTACAGCAGACTTTCAATTACGGCTTCTCATTTCGATTCCCCAGAAGTCACGCGAGGAGCACGCCGCGCGCCCAGAGCGCGCTGGCTCCTGCCCGAGGACATTTTTCCTCTGCGAAATGGAGTTTCCCTCTTCCCGGCGACTCCAAGCGCAGCTCCGGAGCCGGCTCTTTGCAGCCGCGGCGCCCGGGCCCTGGAGCTGCCTCGGAGCCTCCGGAACCGGCCGTGCTCCCTGCGACGGCCCCGGGGACACGCGCAGCCCCAGCCTCCACCCCCAACCACTAGCAATGGGACCCACAATTTGAAGTAAAGAACACAAGCCTGGCTAGTCAGGTAGAAGCAGAGCGTGCTGAATTACAAAGCAGTATCAAAGTAAACCAAGTCGTACTGAAAACCTGCTGTAGGTCTAAAAGCCTGTGAGGACAGCACAGAACCAGTGAGGGCAAAAAGCAGCGGGCTTTGTCTGTTTGCAGCAAACACTTCCCTGCACTTCCCAGCCAACATCCAAATGTTGATTTAAAATTACACCCAGAAAGGATGAAGTCTGCAGAACTGCTGGTTCTGATCTGACAGTCTGCGTTATTGGTTTTCTCCCACCCCATCCCTTAGACCCCTGTGGTCGCCCCTTCCGCAGTCTTGCTGCACTCTCACCCCGTGTTCCCCGGGTGCTCGCACCACTTGTGTAGAGCTGGGCCCTTCAATGTCATTAAATGCACTTTTAGGTATTATATCTTCCCTAACCCCGCAGATTCATTTCTATTTGTGCAGATTTCTTTATGTGCTTAATGCTGCACACAGCGCACACTGCAGGGGAGCCAGCAGCTGGCCACACACGGGTCCCTCCAGCAAAGGGAGGGCTACAGTTTCTCTTCATTTTTTGAGACAGTGAGATTAGGTAAAAAGACTGACCGAAAAGGTACCAAAGCCTTAGGATCCCCCCGGGGTGCTCACAGGCCCCCGCGCTCCCCTCGACCCGCAGCAGGGCCGTTCCAATGGTCAGCAAGGCCCCGTGCGGCCCTGGCGGAAACGGGGATTTCCACGGGGAGCCCTGAGAGCTCCGCGATCGCGTCAGCCCCCGGGGCCGCTTTTTTGACGCGCGGCCGTGCCGTCTGCCCCGACTCCACCGCGCGGCAGAGCCCTCAGCGTGTGCTTTGGAAAGCACGGCCCATCAGTTCTAATTTTTAAAACTTATCCTTTCAGTCAAGACTAGAAAAAGGCCCATTCCAACTTTTATCTTCACTACAAAGTGCTGTTATCTGGGGCTGATGTCAGGAGCTCTATCTCTCTTTCTGCTGACAAGCAGAGACGAGAGAGATAAGATTGGGAACGAATCTCACTTCTCTGAGTAAATAAATAATCAATACTCATCTAAATGTAAATGAGAAAGTATCCCCCTCTGATAACAGGGCTCTTATCAAACAGCCAATTTTCTACAGACATTTGGCCTCAACCAAATCACCATCATTCAGCCCCAGCCTAATGGCTAAAAATCGTAACTAAATTGAACCGATCACCAGAGATCAACTAAGTTCAGCCATGGCTACTGCGGGTTCAAATGTTTGCAATGCAATTTTTCCCCCATTAACTTTCAATAGCGATGAAGAATACCCTGGTCAGGGGGTGAATCCGCACGATAAACAAACGGGAAAAAAAGGCTTTAAACAAAAAGCACCAAACAAACCCCACTTCCATCTGCAAACAGGTTAATAGTGTAAAGTGGGGATTACATAAAGATTTAGATCAATGTTCACATCTCGTGGAATTGTCAACCCTAAACCAAGTTAAGATCGGTATGAACAAACAAAGCCACGTTTAGAAGTGTCTCTGTGCCACGCCAGCCCCGCGCCGGCCGCGCTGCCCAGCTCGCGGCCCGCAGAGCCCGGGCTCCAGCCGCGCTCCTTGCCCTGCTGCTGCTCCGCGTTCGCCACCGCGTTCGCCTAAAGCTCCTCTGAACCCTTTGGCAGCTCCGATTCCCACACGTCCTACGGCACGGAGCTCCACCATTTACTGCCCGGTGTGAGAAAACGCCTCCCCTTTGGCTTCGGCATCGCTGCCTGCCGCTTCTTTGGTTCCCCAGCGTTCTTGTTTCAGGAGAACAGAGATAACGCCCTCCCTATCACCTTTCTAACACAGCACATGCACTTCACAGACCTCTCCTTCACCCCAGCCAAGTCTTTTGCTAAGCAGAAAAGGCCTTTTCTGAATATACCTACTCCGCCTTTCACATGCTGGATCCTTTTTCACACTCACCCCTTCTATATCTTTTTTGTTTCATGATATCCTTTTGGAGATAAAGCCCAACAATCGGCACGTGGGCATATCATGATTTATGCAGCAGTATAATAATGCTTTCTGTTTTGTTCTCTATTCCTTTCTTAATTTCTCATTTCACTTTGTCTTTCTGACTGCTGCTAAGCACTGAGCTGAAGTGTTCAGAGAACTATCCAGAGCTCCTCCAAGATCCTTTTCTTGACTGATAGAAGGTAATTAGAGCCCATCATTGTATACGCATAGTTACAGTTGCTTTTCTCCATGTATATTATTTTGCACTCATTGACACTGAATTCCCTCTCCCGTTTTATTGTCCTGTCACTCAGCATCGTGCGATCCTTCTGCAGTGCTTCGCAGGCAGCTTTTCTTTGCGCTCTTCTCCTCCCTTTGTACCAACAGCACATTTTGTCACATCAGCATTCACCTCCTTTTCCACGCCACCCATTAGCCGAACAATGCAGGTCCTACCAATTCCAGGGGAACTCCACCAGTAACCTAGTTACTAATAACGGAGGGCCATTATTCCCATTCTTTGTTTCCTGTCTTTTAATCAATTATTAATCCATGTGAGGATCCTCCTTCTCCTCCTGTGACAGCTTAATTGCTTTATGAGCCTTTGTCAAATCTTTTTGGGAGTCGATGCCTGCTATATAAAACACATCATCCTTATTCAGAAGGTCTCTGACTTCTTCAAACACTTCTCGCAGGTTTCTCAGGCACATCCTCTGCAAAACCCACGCCAGTTTTTTTCCTTGGCGTATCCTATTTGTCCATATGTCATCTCTTAATTCCATTCTTCGCAACATTTTATGATTTTACAATTTTACAGTATGCCCAGTAAAGAAGTCAAAATACACTTGTCTCTCCTTGAGCTCTCTCCAAAACCAGGGCCAATACCTGCGGCCTTCCAGAGCCCTGCGAGGGGCTGTCCGGGCTCCCGAGCGGCTCAGCATTCGGACACAGCTCCCGAGACTGCTGCCTGCTCCCGGCGACCATATGGAAAACCAGAAACCGGAGGACACCGGGGCTGCCACCCCTGCGAGTCAAGGCAGCAGATGCCAGGCAAGCAGCGCCCCGGAGCCGTGTTCTGCCAGGAAAGCAGGCCAAAGAGCACGCCTGATGAACACGGAACGCGGATGTCCTGGTATTTTCCTATTCTAAGGTTCTTCTTTTGCAAGTACATATGATTTACTGCATTTTTGCTCAAAATATAGGTTTTGAAAGTGCTATTTCTTTTGAGCTTAAGCTATATTTGTATTTCTTTTTTTTTGTTTCCAATTTTCTATTATTTCTATAGAAAACATTTGCTGGAAACATATTACCACTATTACAAGGCCATAAAAAGAAGAGGCTTTATGCACTTCTACCATTTCAAACAACTTGGCCAAACGTCCCGGCTGTGCTGTGCGTGCGGCCGGGGCTTCCAGCCCGCGCTCTGCCAGCGCCTGCCCAGCAGAGCTCAGCCCGGCGGGCACCGGCGGCTCCGGAGGCTCCCTGGGGAACGGGGGAAGCCGGGGCTCCATCCGCGCCAGGGAGACCTGGGGTTACCAGCGGGGCCCCCAGCGCATGGGGAAAGGCACCAGCGCGGCACGGAGACCACAGCGAGCAGGGACAGAGAGGGGTCTCGGGCCTCCTGCCGCAGGACTCTTCTTAGAACACGACAGCAGGGACAAGGGTTTCATTGTGCGCTTGGCAGTGACAATAAAACAACAGAAAATATGTAAACAGTTTGGGAGGAAATAGTTGAAAAGCCAGAATGTTTATATCTCAAATCCTACTGCTATGAGGACATCTTTAATCTGTTTATCCGTTAAAAACCCCCAAAGGCCCTCAACACCTCTGAAGTGAAATAAAGATTTTATCATTAAAAATGCAAATATTGCTTAATAAATAATGATATTTAAAGAGTGAAAACAAACCCTTAACAAGCATGA